TATAATTGAGCAATTTATGCAGTATAGGCAATATAAAGCAACAATAAATTTGGGGTTCGTGCATCATGGTCAACATTTACATGCTATCAGGGTTTATAAAATATCGATTACGAGTTTTAGAAGAATCTGGATTGGATGGAAACGATGAAAGCCTTTGAATGCTAGTTGTAGAAGAACCTCCTTCAAGAACCGTCAAATCTTTAGCGCAATAGCTAGAGCATGCTGATAATGTTGTAGGCGGATTTTACTATTTTACTGAGAGAAGAGAGAGGGAGAGTGGTGGGTGAAAAACAGAGAGAGAGAGAGAGAATTTGATGATTTTGTGGTGATTATTTCTCAACCCATAGCGTCTGTAATTTCTATTAGTAAGGGAAAGAGAACCTTACTTCCCCCTCCTCCCTCCCCCCCCACAAAAAAGCATACAAATACAACTAGAAAACTATCTAAAATATATTATTGAATCCTATTAGAATTCACACAATCACATTCTAAGGAATTCAGAACTGCAAGAAGACAATTATTAAGCACTTATTGTATTAGTAATTAAATTAATACATAACTAATCACACGTTTGGGTGATTAATTTGACTGACAACACTATACTAGTGGGTACGTAATCATAAAACGGGTAAGGATCCACTCGAAACCAATTTAATCCGGATCTTCGAAATCAAATAATTCCCGACGTTGGAAATAAATCTTACGGTTAAGGATGAAGTTCTAACTTTCTTTTCTTTTTTCATGCAAAACAAGAGTCAAACCTTCTTTCTCACTCTCACATTCCTGAATGCTCTCCTCCTTTGTCGCTGCAGTGCTTTCAAGTAAGAGAATTGGAAAACTTTGAAATTTTCTTTTGAAGCACTAGCTCTGCGGATGGATCTTGTTGCTCAATAAATTTCTTTCCTTTCTGTTGCACATCGAACCGATTTGCATATCGAACCAATTTTCTTCTTTGTCTTTATCTGCTCGTGGTGGTGTTGGTGGTTTTTGTCTAAGTCGGCGTTGGAGGCATCGATGAATTACCATTATATGAGACCCAAGGATTCTTCTCCGTCTTCAATTTCTAAGAATTAGAATTCTTCGTCCACGGAGTTTGCCCTTGAAAATTTTCCCAAATCCTTCTCCGTCTTGGTTTTTTTTTTTCCCCCTCCTTGTTCCTGAGTGAGGAAGCTCCTGTTTGGCCAGGCAGGCAATGAAGATTTTATTTGTGAAAGAGTGAATTGATAGAAATAGCATTTATTCTTGACCGCAAGTTTTTTTCCAACGGCTGGAATTAGTTAATCTCTAGGATTCATAGTGAATTGATCTGGAGAGGATCTAGTTCCATCATAAACCTTTATATATGGGTTGACTACACATGCACAAATTGGTGACCATCGCTTATATGTTTGGCTACATGCGTAATGATTATATCGACCAACTGAAGGCATAATTTTTAGTGTGCTAGGCATATGGTCTGTGACCCCTGATTGAAACAATTATTTTTTAATTGGTTGGAAACTTGAAAAAAAAAATTCCAACCAGTTGTATTATTACATTTGATGTGACCGTGTTCCCAATATACTGAAATTTTTTCTCAATTGAGTGAAGAAGACGACAATAATGTTTGTTTGTGACGAGTCCCTTGTAAATAAATGACTAAAGGATAAGAAAGGACAAGTTAATAAGTAAGAAAAATTATCCGGAACTTGCACATATTGTGATAGTGATTAATGACCCATGCATGCATGATTGTTTGGATTGAGCTTCCAAATAATGAAAAGATCAGGGCAACTAAAGTTATATAGAACAAGTATTTTTGATCTATGGGAAAAAAGTTTCCAGTTCCTTTTTTTGGCATATCTACAACTACAAGTAATAGTTGGACTCACAGAGTACATAATTTCCTAGTATAATTCATCGAAAGACATTCTCTTTTATAAAAAAAAAATGAGAGTGGTATTTCATTGATCATCAAAACAAGTAAATATAGATGTGTTGATTGAGTACATTGCTCTAGTGACCAAGAAATTGACCTGAATGAATTTGCACAAAAGAAACAAATTGAGTAAAACTAATGACTCAAATAATAGGCACAACAAACCTATACTGATGTACAATCAAAGACACACCTTTGTGTAGATTCGAACCAACTGATCACCAATGGATTGATATATATGGTTTAGTTTGGTTATGATATTAGTTTGAGGCATATACATTCACTAAATGACCTAGCTAGGCCTATACCGCGCTTGCCCCTACTTACTATATGAAAGGCCAGTGAGTGTAGTTTTTTAAGTTAATTAATACAACGTCACTCCTAAGTTTCATTACTCGCAACTAACTTTTAATTTTGTTCTTTTCATTATCTGTCGAAGAATGGTAACGCAAGTCATCACTAGCAACGGAAATGGCTGATTTTGATTTGTGTTCAATGTTTCTCTTTTTCCCTGACAAATTACAAAAGGGCAAGTGCAAATCGAGGGGGTTATACCACAGTAGGTAAAAATACCCCATGAATTCACTACTTATATGATGTGACGGTCACGAGATTTCTTTTCGTTAGGTATTATGTTGCTGCGGTCAGTTCTCTTAAGTAAGAAGAAAATTGGTTTTGCACGTACAAGCTAGCTGAATCATCTTTTAAATGTTTGAGTGTTTGAGTGTTTGCGAACTCTGCTAATGCGAATGTTTGTATTTATATTAGATGCTGCAAGCAACGAAAAACTTTGTTTTCTATTAGGTATTGATAGCAGAGAGAGGTTAATTAAAGCAAAGTGTATAGCTAGAATATTAAAGTGTACGACATGAATTCACATATACCATCAGAAAGTTTTGAAGTGTGATGATCGATGTTACTAATTTACATATTATAATATATGAGTGTGTGACATGACATAATTGATCATATGTCATGTGCTATGTGTAATAATAAAGAATAGAAACATGTGAGTAGATTGTTAAATATCACATGACTAATGTGACAATCATACAAAAAAAAAAAGGGTTGTGATTTTCACACACCCTTAACTACTTTTCCCACACCTCTTTCTATTTTTTAATACTTAATTGGTATCCTACTATTTAATCTTCCATATATACCCTTCCTACTTTTTGATGGTAATTAATGAAAGATTAAATAGGGAGGGGTATATATGGAAGATTAAATAGTAGGATACCAATTAAGTATTAAAAAATAGGAAGGGGTGTAGGAAAAGTAATTAAGGGTGTGTGAAAATCACAACCCAAAAAATTAATTACATTGTGCTTATGGTAAAACACCAGTGTCCTTTGACACATAAAAGACACATGCAAACCCATTTTTAAATGATAAGCATAAACTGCTTATGCATATGAAGATTTACTCTATGTTAAAATCATAAAATTTTGTAGTGATCACAAAAGATTGTGACACAAATCAATTCCAAAGTATCAACTATCAAGAGATAATTCTATCAATGTTTTCAATTAGGACCTCCAAACAAACAATCTCAACAACCGTTTTTTATTTGGAAACAAATTAACTTCATCCATCACAAAGCTTTCTTCCGTTCAAAACAAATTTTTGTTTGCATTGAGTATAAAGTTGATGAATGCCACCCAACGTTATGTATTAACGAGGAATATGAGAAGTTTTCTTTGGGAGAGGTCGGGAGAGTTGATATAAAATATTGGAACATGCCTAAGTTACATGCTTAATACGTACAAACGGCTAAGACTCTCCTAATATAATAGGTTTCTATTCAAGCATCACCCAAAGAATCAACCAAATTCACCACTTGACGCGTTTGGACGTTCATAAAATTCTTGGGAACGCAGTATATATATAAAGATAAAAGGGACTTGAAAATGACTACAACAACAACAACAAAGCATTATTCCACTAAGTGGAATCGGTTATATGAATCCTAAAATGTCACTGTGTTTGGTTTTGTGAAACTTAAAAATGACTAGATGCAATATATTTGAAGGTCATGTGAAAGTAGTACATTTGTAGTAGCTTAATCCGTAGTGCTTGAGTAGTTCATTGGTGGTGGTCTTTACTTCATTTTTAACCATTGAGTCTTAAGTTCTTACCACTTTGAAAGTCCCTAGTCCAAAACATAGGGTGAGTAATCTTAAGGGTAATTTGGTTCTGGTCCCTAGTCAACCTAATTGTTAGACTATGATCTTGTTTGTTTAAATATTTTGATTGAGGTCCTTGGCACATTTAAGACATTTAACTCCTGCGTTTGCATTTATGCATTCAATTTCCCACAAATTATGAAATTTAAACAAATTCAAATAATATTTAAAAAGAATAGTAATTACTTAAAAATCAACTAAAAAGTAATATTGTTCTTCACATAGTTCTAGCAAGAAGATAATGTAACCACATAATTATTAATATATTTTAAGAAATATCTATTGATATATTTTAAAACAAGAAATGTACATGTAATTAGTATGGGTATGTTCAACAAAAAATATATGGGTACAAATTAAATTAAAAATATGGATGCATATTAAATTTCAAGTTATGAATACAAATCAAAACTACAAAGAATAATTGGTACGAATTTAAAAAAGGGCACATATTAAAAATAAAAATATATGAAAAATACTAATTAAAAGGATGTATTTAAAATGATTAATAAGCTTTTCAATTTTAAAATTGACATATGTGACATGTAAATAATTTAATATTCAAATAATGACGTGGACAAAAGTCAAAGACTTTAATCAAAAATGAAAAAGAAACAAGGTTTTAATTAATGAGAAGGAAAAATAAGGATGAAAACTTAATTTATCCTAATCTTAATCTAATCAGATAAGTAAATGAACAGAATAATTCTTATGGATATTCAATTTAGCATAAAACGAGAACCATATGGTATGAAAATTTCTCTATATTGAATCACATTACATGAGTCGCTCAACGATGCTAAGTATTTTCAGTCTCATCTAAACAGATTTATGTGAAAAGAGGAAACCAGGCCGTCTCTAAAATTCCGGGGGTCATATGCAAAATTTATAAAATGAACCCTCTTTAATATAGCTTTTGAAAAAAAAAGTACAACATTCTATTGATGATAGAAAGCAACAATTTAAATAAAAATTGTAAGTTTACAAATGTTATTTAATAATAACTAAAAAGAGCTACAAATACAACCTTCACTAAATAATAAAAAACAATTCAATTTTAAACAACCAAACAAGAAAAAAAGTTTCAAAAACTCTAACTTTAAAGTTTCACTTGAATATATAGCATTCTTATATGACAAAATTGATTTTTTAAAAAAAAAAAATCTTTTTTTAGGGTGCTGTTATTGGCGCTCTAAATATCTCATTGTGCCAAATGTTTATATTCATACAGAAAAAAATTTACACGTATAAGGAGCGCACAAGGAGATTTTATAGTGTTTTGAAAGCTATTTTTTAATATATATATATAACATTATTACATATAATTATTAGATGGCAAAATTTTTTAAAGGTCCTTCAAATTTAGGGCCAGTGCGATTGCAATTTTCACTCCCCCAAGCCGCCCTTGAGAGCAAATTAATATAGATTAATAGTTTAACTCTTTTGACAAAAAAAGAAAAAAAGAAAAAAAAAGTTTAAATCTCAACTAGTCACTTAATACTACAATCTAATGATATTCCTCTTCACTTGTAAGTGAAAAGCCTTGAGTTCAATTGTCGCCAAATGCAAATTTAAACCACATTATTGCTGACATATTGTGAGGTCTAACTCATTCTCCCACCTCCTTAGTATAGACAATATTGTTTGTTAGGGAAGAAAAAAAAAAAAAACCCTCAACCATTTTAATAAAAAGATTAACACAAGCAAAGGAGAGAGTAACCAAGATCCATATTGGAAATTAGGCTCAGAAATTTTAATTTCGAAGTAATACAAAATAAAGCTAATTTCACACTTCCACGTTAAAGTAGGACAACGAAAAGATGATATGTAATAGAAAAAATATCTAAAAACAAGATGTTACAAACGAAAACAAATTAAGATCAAATTTATCAAAGTGGATGGGGTGTCAATTTGGGGTTAGATGGAGCTCCGATGTTTCAACATAGGTCCCATCTTTTTGGAGAAGATGGCCCATTTGTACTTTCTCTTTTAAAAGGGCAGTGAGAGAAGGACCCAACGCTTGCAAGAGCCATCTGAAATTCAATTCCCATGCAAACTCTGGATTGATCAGGAAATAAAAGAAAAAAGAAAAAAAAAGTAGAGGAGCAAATATTTAACAATGGGTCACCACTACTGCTGCAAACAAGGAAAGGTTAAGAGAGGGCTTTGGTCCCCTGAGGAAGATGAAAAGCTCGTTAGATACATCACCACATATGGCCATGGCTGTTGGAGAAAAGTTCCTGAGCAAGCTGGTCCTGATCACTCTCTATCTCTCTCTCTCTCTCTCTCTCTCTCTCTCACGTACAAAACTTTGCATGACTATAGTTTTGTTTAGGGTTTGATATTTTTCGTGTGTGGGGTTTTTAGGGCTTCAAAGGTGTGGTAAGAGCTGCCGCCTGAGATGGCTCAATTACTTGAGGCCTGATATCAAAAGAGGAGGGTTTACACCAGAGGAGGAGAAATTGATTGTCAGACTCAATGGGGTTGTAGGAAACAGGTATCAACTTCGAGTAGCCCTAAACTAAATTTGCTATCCAAGTATTCTTATTATAGTTAGGGTTTTTGCATTCCCTGAACCCATCAATATGATTAATTCCTAGCCTCAAAATGACTTAAGTTTCTCAACGTTTTATTATGAGTTTCCAGAAGAGTAAATTGAAGATATATATATATATATGAGGTTTCACTAGAAATCAAATATTGGGTTGATTTAAGCAACTGGGGTTAGCGTAGAGGTGAGGTTGGGTAGGGCCGGGTGATATATAAAAGTAGGCTAGGTTGGTTCGAACACTTAGATTAAGGGGTTGGTTAGCTATTTCCAGTAACTGGATTAATCCGAAGTTTAGTTGTTAAAGTTATTTAGTTTCTTTTCTAAAATGTTAAAGTTACTTGTTTAAGCTAGCCCACCTTCCTTGTTATTTTGGTGAGTCTAGTTTTCCTTCAATCTTAATTTCTTAAAATTATAGTGTCACAAACAGTGTTAGCAGATGAAATTTCTTGAAATTGTTTTCCTACGATCATAATGACTTACCTGATGACTACTCGTTCTTTAATTGGGATGTTATCGTCACTCTCTTGTAACTCTAACATGAATTGATAAATTTTAGATGGGCGCATATAGCAAAATGTCTGCCTGGAAGAACCGACAACGAGATAAAGAACTACTGGAATTCATGGATTAAAAAGAAGCTAGAAAGGCCTTCTTCACCACCAATCACATCTCCCTCTATTATTGATCATCAGCACAATTACCAAATGGGTTGCAGTTATCCAAAGCAGCAAGAATTTTTGAACCATAATTTCATTACAAAGCCTACAGCACCTAGGGAAATCCTATACCCTTCTCCATACCCTTTATTCATGTTTGACGCTGATGAGACTACCATAAAAAGCATTAATGTACAATCAGCCGATCAGGATTTTCCACTAGCTGTGTCAAATAATTCGAACAACAACGGAACATGGATTTTGGATCAGCAGCATCATCAAGTTCAAGCCCTTCCACCTTCTACAGCAGAATTTACAAACAATAATATGGATGCACAGTTTCTGCCATCCCTCCTAGGGTCCAACATTGGAAACAATAACATGGTTCCTATTGCAGTGGAATCATGTGGAAATATTGATGAGGGAGGAGAGATTTCAATGGAGTGCTTGCAAAATACTACTCAGGAGCTGAACGCATTGGTTCATTCCCGCCAGGCTCAACAGTGTTCATCAAACAGCTTTCATTTTTGGGACATTGTTGAAGGACCATCTTCATCTAATTTGGGTTCAGCTAATATATTATCTTCTTTTCCATCATATCAATAAAAGACTCGATCATAATGAAATGATGATGGTGATGGTGGTGGCAATGATGGCTTGCTAAAGTTTCCCTCCATCAGTCTGGCATTGAAGGAAGAACATTGCAGTTTTAGGCTTCAGGAAACCTCCATCGGTCTGTGAAATACCACTATGTATAGAAAACAAAGTATATATAATGTGTATATGCATGCAATGTTCTTACATAAGTTTAATGTTTGAATTAATAAAAAAATGCTAATTAAGGAATAAAGCTCAAACACAAGAGAAACCCATGATGAATTTCATGCATGCGTATGGCCTATTGGTTACCAAACCTCATGCGTTCTGCTGGCAGAGCTACTACTTGAAGAAAAACTTGCATACCATGGAGTGATGGAGCAAGTATTTCTACAGTAACAAATCACATGCCTGTGATTGATTGTTCCAATAGTTAGGGTCTTCGCATTTGATAGAGTCAACGTGCGGCTGATTAGATTGTAACACTTGTCAATTGATTAGAGATATAGTTAGTTAGAAAACTGATAAGCATGTAGTATCAAAGACTATAAAGCTTCATTTCTTGTATTACTTCCTGATTAAGTGTGGAGTGCATAAAGTTATACTTTTATGCCCTCGTTTACTTAGGTTTTTGACTTAAAATCTCTATGCATCAAGATGAAAGTAAGGGCTTGAAGAAATTATCTTATTTTGAATATTTTAAGAGCCTAGAATGGATAGTTTGAAGCCCAGCTCGCCCAAGACAAGACCATAGCCCATAAGTGACCCAAGATCCGCTAGAAAAGGCCCTTGCAGAACAGCCAACTTGTGAGCTTTGCCCCGAAGTGCTCAGAACGAATTAAAAAATGGGCCATATATGGTCGAAAAGCCCTATAAGTCTTCTTTCTGATGGTCTTCACAACTTGTGATTTGGAGGTTTCAACAAGAAATTATAATATGATAAAGAGGAGCAGTTCAGTTACAAATTATGATAACAGCTAGTTTTCAGTTACTCCTATACTAAAAGCTGATTGTAATGAGGTATGAATGAGAGTCAATTTAAGGATGTAAATGTGTCAGATATTAGAAAACTCCTAAGCCTTTTAATAAGAGAAAAATACACAGAATTTGAAGGAGGAAAAGGAGGAAAAGGAAAAGGAGGAGAAAAATACACATAATCAGGTTAGACAGATTGTAGCAGTCCTAAACCAAAGAGAACCAAGTAAGCTTCCTAGTCAAGTTGTTGTAAATCCAAAAGATTTGAACAATGCACAGGTGAATGTGCTCACTTGAATTTTTAGCCTTTTTGAGTCATGATTAGAGCTATTTGCAATTAAATAATGGGAATGTACATGTTTAACTTAGTCTTGCAATCATAACTTTACCTATGCTTTGAAAGTTGTTGTATCTGCTATATAATACCACTGCTCACAGTTATGAGAATACTTGTGAAAAGTTACTAGTTCAAGCCTTAAAAGAAGGATAGTGGAGACTGCATTTTGAGCAATTTTGTGCCTATTTGCTTCTTTTAGAGGGATTAAACTATTTCTACTCTTATCCTTTTCTTTCAAGTTCATTTCAAATAATCTCATTACTCATTTTTTATTGAATACTAAGAGTTATTCTCTTTTGTGGATACTTATGCTTATTATCACCTATGAATGAACTCATTAAGACAATGTTAGGCTATGCATGTTTTAACTAGTAACTGGCCTAATTCCCTACCTTTGTTGTGTGAGACATTACCCATTTTGAAGCCAAACACAGCCATATCTTTCATCACCCACACTAAACTCTATCGATTTTCCCCCATAATAGCCATTCCCTATAGCTTGGGGAATACCAAAGTGATGAAGACAAATATAATGCTCGAGCTTTAAGCTAAGAAAGTGGCGCATACTGAGGTAACATAGGCTGGAATTGCAAAATAAGAAGAAAAAAAAAAGGAAAAAGAAAACATTTTAAGAGAGAGAAAAAAAAAAAAAAAAAAAAAAAAAGAGAGAGAAGAAGATGCAATTTCTAAATCCATGGGTCCTGGACGTCGAGAACAAGTAAAGAAGATCAATTCAAGAAGAGAGCATGCTGGTTTTGCAAGGAAGACACTTTGGTACATCTAACGTAAAAACCTTACATTACAACCTTATGAAAGACCTAGCTAATCTTTGAGGATGTATCCATGGGTGTTTGTAAGTATGTGTGTTATCCTATTCTTAGTATTTGATTCCTTTCATGAGATCTGTCCATAAGTTGGTTTTTTTTTTTTTTCTTTTCTAATTGAATTATGTGTGAGAATATTTTGCTTTCCATTACATAACCTCACTCACATATACTCGTTGAGAGCAAGCCCTAGGAATCAAGTGAAAGAGTGAATCTATAAGATTAGAGTTAAGACGAATCTTATCTTCCTTGCTTGAGCTTGTAACTTAGTAACAGGTTGAATTTGAGCTATAGCACCTCACTGACATGCAGATTTGATTGCTGGAAAGGTAAAGTCAAAGTTAGGAATGTAAGGCATGGTTGAGCTTTGATTCTTATTATCTTGTTTCAAATGTGCTCTAATCGTTGTTTTGTAGGTTGTTTCGAACGTTTATGAGTACCATCACTGTGAAACCCTTATGAGACATAACTCCTCCTACTAGGGATGCCTAGAGGTTTAAAGGCTTGATGCATAAGCTGAATGAATTCGTCTCACCAACGGAATTGGTCTTAGATTAACTTATGTTTGTATTTTGTGTGGCATTTGTTTCTTTTAGTTTTGGTTTGCTCGAGGACTAACAAATCTCAGTTTGGGGGTATTTGTTGAGTGCATAAAGTTATACCTTTAAGCCCTCGTTTACTTAGGTTTTTTATTTAAAATCTCCATGCATCACAAGGTATTTTGTTGTTTGTATTGTATTTCAGGATGAAAGTAAGGGCTTAAAGAAATCATCTTATTTTGAATATTTTAAGAGCCTAGAATGGATAGTTTGAAGCCCAACTCGCCCAAGACCAGAACATAGCCAACAAGTGGCGTAAGATCCGTCAGAAAAAGGCCTTGCAGAACAGCCAACTTGTGAGCTTTGCGCCGAAGTGCTCAACACGAATTAGAAAATGGGCCATATATGGTTGGAAATCCTTGGAAGTCTTCTTTCTGATGGTCTTTACAGCTTGTGATTTGGAGGTTTCGAAAAGAAATTATAACAAGATAAAGAGGAGCTGTTCAGTTACAGATTCTGATAACAGCTAGTTTTCAGTTACTCCTATACTGAAAGCTGATTGTAATGAGCTATAAATGAGAATCAATTTAAGGATTTAAATGTGTCAGATGTTAGAAAACTCCTAAGCCTTTTAATAGGAGAAAAATACACAGAATCTGAAGGAGGAAAAGGAGGAGATACACAACATCAAAGAGGAGGAGGATGAGTCCTCCACCTTGAGCCGTTTCTAGGTCCTAGCTTTCCTAACTTTTTATGTATTTTGTTTTTATGTATTTTGTTATGTTTTTAATTTAGTTTATGGATACTTAGGGCTGCTTTGAAGCCCTAGACATGATTGAATTAATGTTATGATGCAATTTTAGTTTATCAATTTCATTTGCAAGTTAGAATCAGTTTTCTGTCTCAATTATTTCAAGCACATATTTTCAAGCTTAGCTACCTTGTTTATGTTTGCTTTCTATTGAGAATGATAAGGATGATTGTCATATCTTCTTTCATTCATCAGCAACATATGGTTAGGTTCAGAACTAATCATGTAAGCTGATTCCATGAAAATCTAGGATAAATGCCATGTTCTAGGGTTCATGTGATGTTCATAATCCTCTTCATTCTTAATGAGTTTATAGGTGCTAAATCTGAGTATATGCCATGTTAGGTTGCACCTACAAATATAAGTTCGATGTATATGCCATGCATCCCACATGCAAAGAAAGTGAGGATTCATACAATCTAATTATATGCCATGCTAGATATGTGAACATCTTAGTTGTGCATTTGAAATGGATAAGTTAAAAGATCATCTCATTGATTCATGAATGTTTAGAGGAAGGCCTTAGCTCATTTTAAGTCAAATTTATGTCCTAAAAATGTTTCTAACCTATTTCATGTCTTAGGTTTATTTTTAGATAGTTTCTAATTTTTCCCTTTTCTTTCTGTCTTTATTTTTTTTCTAAAATTACTTAAACCCCCTAATTTTAAATCATAGGAGTCATTAATTGATGCTAATATGTAAGAGTCAAAGGTTTTACTAAGTTGTGTGATTCGACACCCTTACTTGTACCACTATATTATCCTTATATTTTCACTCGAAAGGAACTTCAACATTAAGAAATATAATCAAGGACTGCTCATTTCCTCTTCTTCACTTTCTCTCTGAATCTCTTCCTTTTCTTACAAAGCTTACAATGTATAAACTGGTTCATTTTGTATAAATTAACATGGTATCAATTGCCACTGTTACTTACACTTGAAAGCATGATCTTTCTTTTGCTTCCGCTTATCACGATTCTATATTCGTCTTCTTGAATTTCTACTCTCATCTTGTCAATTGATTAGAGATGTAGTTAGTTAGAAAATTGTTAAGCATGTAGTATTAAAGACTATAAAGTTTCATTCCTTGTATTACTTCCTCATTAAGAAATATAACAAGACTTGTTCACTTCCACTTCTTCTCTTTCTCTCTAAATTTCTTCCCTTTCTTACAACGCTTACAATGTATAAACTGGTTCATTCTTTATAGATTAACATGGTATCAGTCTCTATTGTTGCTTACGCTTGAAATCACAATACTTCTTTTGCTTCACTTATCTCGATTTTGTCTTTGTATTCTTGAATTTCTATTTTGAAACTCGTTCAGTTGTCTTCTCTCTGCAGTTTCTAAGGTTTTCTTTGATCTTGAAATTTGATCGATCTTCCTCTGGGGTTACTTGATTCTTGCACGCCGGGTATTTGCTGCAATTCTTGTATGGTATTTCTCTATAATTCAAGAATTTGTGATCTTGATTATGCGAAGATGGTGACGGCCTCTCAGCTTCCTCTTTTCCAATCTCCGAT